TGCCAGAAGCTGGGAATGAGTGACAGGGAATGGATCACTTGACGATTACCTGTTCTGTTCATTCCTTCTGAAGCACCTGGCATTGGCCACTGTCAGAAGACAGGATATTGGGCTAGATGGACCTTTGGTCTGACCCAGTATGGCTGTTCTTATATTCTTATGTCTTTTAGTTCAAGTAATCGGCGCTTGCAATTCTTGTGCCAAGGCCTGAATTCACTCCCCACTGTCAACTAAGCCATCTCTTAACTAAACCTATTTTCATAATAGGTCTTACCAAAGCCTCTTGCTGAAACTCAGACGACTCTATAGATGACCCCTTGGAGCCAGTTCAGTCTGGAGAAAGTACAAATGTTTGCCAGCTTTAGTCTTTCAAGTAGTCTTAGAATAGCGAGGTGTAGTTCAAAACTCCAACCTTTATTAGGGTATTGAGAATATCCCATCTTATCCCTTTCATTCCCTAATACCATGCCAGGAAGTCACAGAAACAAATACTGTCTCAGTCTGGTTCCCACCCTCAGACCAAAACTCAAAACCAGTTAGTCCCTCTGACTAACTGATACACGGAATGTGCATTTGTGAATTACCATGGAGATAAAGCAGACAACACTTAAGGTTCTGCAGCACCTTCTGTATTGTAACTTGGTGTAACAATAAGTTTTCTAGGTGACATGGTCCATCCAAGGGACGACACAGGAACGAGTTACATATCACATGACAGACAAATTCCAAGCACCTTTTAGATGTTTTAAAACTGATGGCTACAGGACATCACTGAGACAAGATGTGCTTCTTAAACTCAGCTGGTTTGTGGGATTGACTGTGAAGTTCATTGGACTTCAAAGAAAGCTTCCAGTGAAGGGAGATGGAGTCACTGGCTTCATCAGTCCTTCCAAAAACTACAGAAAGGGTGATCTCAAGTTGGAAGCCAGCAGAAAAAGCAGGGAGGGAAAGGAAATTGGGTCACAGGGTTTTTTTCCCAAAGCTATTAGACAAATTTGAAGGATGTTTAAGAGTGACATGATGGAGACTAACAAGCTGACATTCTTCTCTTTATACAGCTTCAGATAAGGACCAATGAACATTTGTTTCTACTTCTACAGGAAAATATGCAACTTGTTGCTATTATAATTAGACTCAAATTTTCAAAAAAGGAGAGGTAGGGTCAAAGTAAAATATCGGCATTCAATAATGGAGTAAAAAATTAATTTGAGGTATGAACCTGTAAGTCGTCCGTAAAAGCACAGAATATCCACTGAAAGATGACTTTCGGGTTAAGATTCAGCTATTAGCAGCTGTGCACAAACTTCCGGGGTTGCCCTAAGCAAGTCGCTCAACCTCTATGTGCCTCAGTTTGCCCATCTTTATACTGAGGATAACACCTCCCTACATGACATAGATATTGTGAGCTTTAACTTTCTAATATTTACAAAGCATTAAAATAATACTATGGTGATGAGCACCGGTAAATTAATAATAATAGGAACACCACATTGTAGAATTCAGCACTCTATTTGAAATCAAGAAGCAAAGAGAGCACTAATGTAAGCAATTATGTTACAGTTATCCTGTGGGGGAGAAAAACCTGTCTGCACACCTTATAGCAGCAGAACAAGACTGAACGGCTTAAGTAATAAGAGAGTTTTGTGCTACTTAAAAAAACAAGACCTGAAGTGAAAAGTTTCCATATTACTCATTGTTAAAGAGCAAAAATGTGGTATATGATGAAATATATTATTTGGTTTTAGAAAATCTGCAAGCTAAGTAACCATTTGATCCACAATAGACAGTCTGAAATTTATTATTTAAGCTTTAATTACTATATTTTACTAAACAAATTTTTTTTGTAAAGGTGAAGTTAAGGTTGATAGCACACATGAGTAATATGAATAAAATTCCTTAGAAGAATGCTGTAGTTAGCAAAAGGAAAAAAAAACAAACTACTGTATTAAAAAGCCAAAGCCAGAAGATTCAGAGTTATGGTTAAATTTACAAGAAATCCAAATATCTGAAGGTATGGAAATTCAACCGAGATACCCAAACTATCTTAACTATGCCCTTTAGCAATTCCAACTTCCCATTTCCCCTCTTTTGTTTCTTTTATTGTTAGTTGTGGGATCCTGCCGGGATATATTCTTGACCAAATGCTATTTAATATCTTTATCAATGACCTAGAAGAAAATATAAAATCAATAGTGGTAAAACTTGCAGATGACACACAAATTGCTGGTTCAGTAAATAATGATAGGGACAGGTCAGTTATACAGATCAATCTAGATCTCTTGTTCAGGTGGGCTTATTTAAACATAGGTTTTAATACAGCCAAATGCAAGGTCATATCTCCAGGAATAAAAAGCATAGGTCACACTTACAAGACGGGGGACTGTATTGTGGAATGAAGTGACACTGAAAAGGACTTAGGGTATCTCGCCACAGAAGTTGGGAGGGTGCTTCCCAGTATGGGCAGGCAGATGCGCTAGCTCTGCTTGAGCTAGCACACTAAAAATAGCGCGGTAGCCGCAGCAACTCAGGCTACTCCCAACTACAAACCTGCCTGACCCCCCGCCATCCATGCCACTACAGCCACACTGCTATTTTTAGTACGCTAGCTCTGCTCGAGCTAGCACATCTATCTACCCATGCTGGGAAGCACCCTCCCGGCTGCTGTGGTGACATACTTTAGTGGCAATGGTAAATAATAAGGTGAACATGAGCTCCCAGTGCAAAGTGGTTGCTAAGATGATGAACACGAACCTTGGATGCATAAGCAAGAGAAGTAGGGAGGTGGTATTACCTCTGTATATGGCATTAGTGAAAACATTAATGGAAAACTGTGTCCAGTTCTGGTGTTCTTACTTCAAAAACTATATTTAAAAAACTAGAAAGCATCAAAAGTATAAGAAGAATGATTTGAAGTCTCAATAGGCCTTCTAGTGTGAGACTTAAGAAACTCAATCTATTTACTTTATTGAGGGAAAGGTTAGGTGGTGACTTACCACCAAGACGGCTCAGTGCTTCAACAAGATCAGCTCATGAATGAAAACAGTTGGCTGAAGCTGAACCTGAGCAAAACTGAGCTGATGCTGCTGGGCAGAGGAAAACATTTTGAAGAGTTAGCTGCCACAGTGCAATCTCCTTTGATTAAAGGTACAGACCCACAATTGGTCAAATCAGTCCATAATTTAGAAGTACTCTTGGATTCCTCACTGACATTAAGTTCTCTCATAGCAGCATCCACGAGTAACGCTTTCTGTCATCTCCAATTGGTTTGTTTTCTCCACAGTTACGTCCAACTTTCTTGTAAAGATTTTTATCATTAATTACTTATACGTTCTATCAACCTTAATTTCACCTCAGCAAAGTTATTGTCTCTGATATTGCTTATTCTTTAAAGACAGCCTGAACGTGGATTGGGGGTAAAGCCTGGGGTAGAGACACTCACTCCTTCCTTCCCATACTAGGGGTGAAATCCTCGCCAACTAAATTTTATCTCTCTCTGCATTTTCCTGACTTTTGTGTTTTTGGAGGGGTTTTGGCTGCAAGTGACGAAAAAAAGAGATTTTTTGGAAACTGGTGAACATGTTTGTTACTTTGGCGTTGTAAGTAAATAATCCTTGTTCTGACTTACTTCGAAATCCATGGGGGGGGGGGGGGGGGGGAAATCAGCCAAAGACCTCACTCACCTACCAGTTCTAAGGAAGATATTTCTTTTTTTGTGGTATTTAGGAGCAGGGGTTTCTAATGAAAATGAACATGCAGGCTTAATTATGAAGAGGTTGCTCCCTCTCCATAGTAATGGTAATGACTGCTGCCTCTTATATAACAGCATCATTCATGTGCACAGCATTTTGCAAATAATTAAACTAATTATTGCAACACCCTGAGAAAAAGAGAAATAGGATTACCACCATTTCACTGATGGACAAACTGACTCAAAGAACTAAAGTGTGTTACCCAAGGCCACAGGGACTGTCATTGCTGGGGCCGCAGTTAAAACTCAGAAGTTCCTAGCTTCCAGCTCCATTTTAAATCCCTTATAGCTATACCACACCACCTCCCTATATTACATGTGCATTACAAACACAGGGGGAAAACCGCCTATCAGTGTGCTTTGCAGGCAAAAACTGAAAATGGCTCTGTTTAATTTCCACATCTTTATCAACATTTTATAAGAAACTGAAGTCAGTGTCAACTATTCAGTGACTAGAGCAAATAAGGTTACAGAAATTTTAGATACCTAAACAGTTTACAGTATAGTTGGGCCCGATAATCCATAATAAAACTGTCCATTTGGGTAAAAAAATCAAGATAAGAATCTTAAACAGGGTCCTAATTCCCCCATCCAATATTTTATAACAGAATACTCACGACATTTAAACTTGGGAAAGCTAGTGAGACAGAGATGGGAAGGGGGAAGTGGATATTCCATTTCTACATTAAAAGCAGAACCGCATAAACTCTGTTCTTTCATAACATGGTACTTATTTAAATATACCAAAGATATACTAAATTTGTGGAGAAACATCATGTCTAGTTCTCTCAGCCACTGATGTTAAACACGTTCCCTTGTAGTTTTCCTATAATTTGCTCAACAGGAAAGCTATTAACCTATTCACATTTCTTAGGATATTACTTGTACTTATATAGGGCATATTTTCCAACTTGACTGCCTGAAGTTAGACACCTAACTCCACATTTAGGCACTTAAGTGGTTTGTTTCTCCAAAAGACCTGAGCATCCACATTTCCATTGTTGTCAATGGGAGCTGCAAGTGCTCAGCATCTATGGGTGAAGGGGTGTGGGGAGAAATCAAGCAACTTTTACTTAGCTCTCTAATTTCACATTGGAGGCAGCTATCTTCATGTACTCAAGTTAGAAAATTTAGAAAATAATGGATCTGAGAGTTTTCTTTCCCAAGTGCAGAAAAAAGAAATTTTTTTCAATACTTGCCACAGATTCTCCATAATTTGTAGCAAAGAAAATAAAACTACAACTTAACTTACCTGTTGTTGTATTATTGAGATCAACTTTCTAATGTCTTCCTGAGCTGGCTTCTGTGGGGACAAAAACATATATGTTTAGGGGAATTATTCAAAACAGCGTAGTAAAAGATTTTTGTGTTCCTTTGAATTAACCAACAAACAAAATAAAACAAGCTACAGTATATCCATTTAGTCAGAAAACACTTGCTTAGTTAGGCCCCAATCCTGCTCCCAAGAATGTCTAGTTAAATTCCCAATAACTTTCATCATGCAGTAACAGGCCATTACTACTCTATTTACTTACTACACTGTAGGTTTACTAAATCAGAGTTTTTCATTGCCAGGACCCATTAAAAAAAACAAAATGTTTGCAAAACAGAGTGTTACAGCAAAATGCATTAACACAGTACCTCCCAGCCATTAATGGCTTTTAAAAATAATCTGAATATACATAAGTGTAACACTTTTCAGATGATCAGTATTAATCAGTAATCTAATTCTGACATGTTAAAACAAGTAACCTTGGCGTTGCAACTCATCAAGCCCAAACTAGTGGGGACAGGAAGTCCCGGTCACTGTTATTTCCTTGCCAGTTCCTTCCAAAATCCCACAGTGCAATTTCAATGAACAAAGTGATTTCATCTCATAGTGTTTCTTATAATGCTTTCATACTTCTGACCAACTTGTCAGCGAGGCCCCCAAGTGGAACTTGCAGAACCAGAATTAAGATTTACAAGGGCCCCAGGCTCTGGAAAGAGACAAGAATAAAAGACCACTGGTGAGAGGAAGGAAAAGTGCTCTGGTGGCAAGTCTGGCACCCACCAACACAACGCAGCATTACTAAGGGCAGGTCCACACTGGGGCGGGGGATCGATATAGGAAACGCAACTTCAGCTACGAGAATAGCGTAGCTGAAGTCGACGTTTCCTATATCGAACTAAATTTACTTACTTCGGGTCCACGCGGCGCAGGCAGGCTCCCCCGTCGACAGCGCTTCCTCCTCTCGGCGAGCAGGAGTTCCGCAGTCGACGGGGGAGCGCTTCTGGGATCGATCTATCGCGTCCAGATGAGACGCGATAAATCGATCCCAGAAGATTGATCTCTACCCGCCGAATTGGGCGGGTAGTGTGGACCAGCCCCCACTCTCACAGTTTTATTGTAAATCTCAATTTCTGTTTTGTTTTGTTTTTTAAAAGGGTTCTCATGAATTTCCGACTGCTGGCTTCAACCCTATGAAATCTGCCCTTATCCAAAGGGGACAGCATCTCTCATTACTGTCAACAGGACCAAAGCTATAGGCTGCCCTTAGCTATCTAGCTACCATGTCTCTGACCTTTCTAGAGGAAAGTGAAGCTGCTCCCAGCAAAGTTGGATGCCATCTTCCATCGGCTGAAATGGGGCTAACAGAGGGAAGATGGTGGCTCCTCAGTCTCCATACAAACGCCAGGCAGAGGACAGGAGAATGCGGAGTTTCAGGAATGAGACCATGGGGGCAGCAACAAGGGAAAATGTGCTAAGAAAGAGGATGTGCAGGGATGATCAGAAAAATGACCCGGGGAGGTGGGGACGAGGGGCAAGTAGGGGAGGAAATAGGAGGCAGACTAGGAGGATGCAGGGAAATGTGGTGCTGCAGAGAGAGAACCTGTGGTAGGAGACAGAAGGTTAAGAGAGGGAAATATAAGAGGGCAAGTTAATGAGGTAGATGGGGGACTGGCTATTATAGGGGATCACGAAGGGAGAATATGAGTGAGATAGCTGCCTATTCTGCCTTGTTAGGGACGGGAAGGGGGAATTATGAGTCCCTGAGTGCCACCTCCTCTCACACATGATAGGAGAGAGTAAGTGCAGCCCCTTCCAAGCAGTGAACAGGGAAGCCATATTTTGTGTATATTTAAGGTTATTTTTGATCCTGAAATTATCTCTCACAAGTTAGGGGTGGAGAGCTTCCCCATACAAGGTGAGAAATATCCAAAAGCAGGCAAAAATGTAATTTATTTACTGTTTTAAATCTGATTTTTAATCATGATATTTTGGGCTCTAACTCAGAGCAACAAACAACCCCCTTGTAACTGAATCAGCTAGAACAACCCAGTTTGAGTACAAACCTTTTATTTTGTCCATATTAGCCATGATGTTTCAATTTAAGAACACCAGTTGCACATCAGCTCTGCTGTTTTAAACCATGTCAACTGCAATGCCTTCTTGGAACCTTCCAGAGGTAGTGAATAATGGAAGATTAAAAAGGTCACCTATGCACTGTGGGACAGCAGCAGGAGGACTAGCTGAACCATTTTAGCTATTTTGTGCACACATTAGCACTAAACCAGTTCAGTGGACCTTCTGAAAGCAAGCTTAATCTACACAGTTCTGGGAACACACACGTGTACATGTGACGTGATTTACAAGCATTTTAGGTCACCATTTCTCAAATGCGGCCACCGTGGCCGCATGCAGCCACCAGAGGGTTTCCTTGCGGCCACGGCAGTTTCCTGGGTGGGGGACGCATCGGCCCCCCCTTAGTTCCCTGTAAGCTGCGCAGGAGCCTCTTTAGCGCCGCACGAGCGCTCAAGGAACACGCTCCTCCCCCGGCCTCCAATCTGCTGCGGCCGGGGCGCCCCTGCTGCGGCTGGGGCGCCCCTCCACCAGCCCAAACTCTGCTGCAGCCCGGTCCTGCTGGAGCTGGGGCGGCATGGCCCCAGACTCGGCCGGAACGGTCCAGCCCAGGCGCCCCTCCCCCAGACCAAACCTAGCCCTGGCACCGGTATCCCTCCTCCGGCCCGAACCCAGCCCCAGCCTGGCCGTCCCTCCCCCAGCCCGAACCCAGCCCCGGCCCGGGCGCCCCTCCCCCAGCCCGGCCCTGCTGGAGCAAAGGGGCGCCTATCCTGCAGCCCCAGCGCTGCTGTGGCAGGGAGAGGCGCCTCTCCCCCCACAGCCCAAGTGCTGCTGCTGCTACTGCTGCGGGGAGTCCTCTCTCCCTGCCGTAGACCCGGCGTACCCTCCTGCACCCCTCATCCCCTGCTCCACCCCTGAGCCCGCAAACCACTGTACCACCACCCTCTGCCCCAGCCCTGAGCCCCTCCCACACTCCGAACCACTCGGCCCCACCCCCATCAACTGAATTTTGTTATGTGCACCAATATGAAGGTGATGTGTGACATCACCTCCATGTTGGTGCACATAACAAAATTCATTTCACACATGAATAGGAAAAATGAGAGGGAACACTGCTTCCCCTTCCTCCCTGCGCCACCTCACTGGAGACACAGGTGGGAGACACAGGTGGGACACACAACGCTTAAGGAGCAAGGTGAGGAGGCGAGGGGGGGGTGAGGAGGCAAGCGGCGAGCCAGCAGCAGGATGAGGCGGGTAGGAGAGAGGGGGTCTGGCTGCAAGCGTGGGAGTGAGGAGGTGAGCGATGAGCCACCAGCGAGCAGGGGTTCTCGCGGTGGACAGGGGTGAGAGGAGGCAAGCGGCGGTTGGGGGGGGTGAAGAGGGACACAGGAGGCAAGCAGCGGTTGGGGGGGGTGAAGAGGGACACAGGAGGCAAGCGGCAGTTGGGGGAGGTGAGGAGGGACACAGGAGGCGAGCAGCAGGCAAGGGGGAGTCAGGAGGCAAGTGGCGGACGCACAGGCAGAGGGTGGAGCCCCCCTTTGGGAAGGCTAGCCCCCAACTCCACCCCTTCCGCCCACCCCACCCATGGCAGCTGGACCCCCGGGACCCCCTGCTCCCCCCCAACGGCTGGAGCCACAAGCCCGCCACCCGGAGAAGTCCCGCACTCTCCCTCTCAGCTGGAGGACCCCCAGGCTGGCTGAAGCCCTGAGTGTCCTCACCCCACCCCCCAACCCCACCACTGCCCGGAGGAGCCCCGGACTGGCTGAAGCCCGGAGCACCCCCGCCCCCTAGCCAGAGTACCTCAGGGCCGGCAAAGTGCCAAGCCCCGCCACCTGCTCAGAGGAGCCCCAGGCCAGCTGCAGGCACAGCTGTGCCTACCCTCCTCTCCCCTCCCCAGACCCAAGCCGCCCAGATGTTTTTTTCATTATTATCTGGACTTCTTCTATGATGTCAAAGCATTTTTAAATTTACTTCAGAATAGTTGTACAACCACTTTTACCAAAAAAGCAAAAGAAACAACAATAAAAAAAAATACAAGAACATGCAAAGCACCTTATTTGTGTTTTTATTCTGCTAGGTCCAGTAAGAATAGAGATAACTGTGCATTATTTTTATTATTGAGTCTGGAAGAAAAAAAAACACTTGCATAAATAAATTACAATGATTTGGATGTACATGTGTGCATATCACTTTATTAATATAAGAAAAACAAATAATTTTAGGGAAAAGTGTCAGTGCGGCCACCAGCAAGAGTTGGTGGCCGCATTCTGAGGCTACCAAATCATTTGTTGCGATGACCCCTGTAAATCTAGGTGGTCAGTATGGCTCTCAGAATGGTAAAATTCTCTAAAGTTAACAAGGCCAGAGAGGAAATCATATTAAAAACAGAGGGCAGGGGAGTTAGAAGGACTGAATAAAGAGAGGTGATAGAATACAAGGAAAACCTTTCTGACATGGAATGATAGAACAATTAGCAAAGGAAAGACCATCCTGCCAAAAAAATGTAAAATACTACTATTTATATATTTACATGGTACCTTTTACCTGAAGGCCCACTACATCACTCCACTAACTATATACATATACCACTACTGGAATGCAGCCACTGCTGGGGCTGAGGGTGGAGCCTAAAAAGCATATACTAAATTGCCCAACAGTGGATGCAAAGGTGGAAATTTGACTGGACAGCAGGGCAAACTCCCACAACTTTCAACAAGTATGTCTGGCACTTTCATGACCATACAGCTCTGACATGCATTTAATTTTTTGGCTCTTTTATGGACATCCACACACATACATAGGTAACCACACAGAAAAAAAACTTTTATATCTGTTGTACTTCGAGATATGTTGCTCATGTCCATTCCATTCTAGGTGTGCACGCGCCCATGTGCCCAGCTGTCGGAGATTTTTGCCTTAGCGGTATCCGTAGGGCCGGCTGTGGCACCCTCTGGAGTGCT